CGATGCGACCAGCGAATGCAGTTTCTGCCGATGGTCCGCTCAATTTGCTGGAAGCAGTAGTGGTTGCGGGAAGTAAGGCGTCGGAAGGACAAGGCGTATTGGTCGTGATGAATGATGAGATTTTTAGCGCACATGATGTGACTAAAATGAATACTTATTCCGTCGATTCGTTTCGAGCGAATGAGTTCGGTGCACTCGGTTGGGTAAAGAATAACCAGGTACATTTTGAACGCAGCGTTGTAGGAATGCATTTGAATACAACACAGAGTCGGTTTACTATACAAAAATTGGCGAAGTTGCCTTCGGTTGAGATCGTCATGAGTTATGTCGAAGCATCACGGGCAGCGATCGATGCTTTCGTCGAGAAAGGTGTGAAAGGGATTGTAATAGCAGGTACTGGCGATGGAACGATTCACAAGTCACTGCAACAGGCGGCAATGGATGCAGTGAAGCAAGGTGTAGCAATTGTACGCTCGTCTCGCGTAAGTTACGGTCACGTGTCGCACAACAAGCTCGATGATCAGGCCGAGTTTCTCAGTGCTGGTACGCTCAATCCATGGAAGGCACGTGTGCTTTTAATGCTAATACTTGCAGAAGGCATCAGTGACCATGCTGAACGTCAATTCATCTTTGACCAGTACTAAACACGATCTACTAAAAGTCTATATAATAGCCTGATCTCTTACGAACAGTTTATATTTTCTATGTCTCCTCTATTATTGTCTTCCCATGTTTACTATATGAATCTGATGATGCAACATCGTTTTTCCTCTACTTTTTGCTTGGGATGCATTTCTTTTTGTAATCTTTCTTTATATAATAAAGAATCGTTATGCTCGCATCACTCCAATTCTGAAGAAATGAACATTTCAAACAACTGCTATCTTGCTTTCTTTCATGCCAGAATGAAGCTTGCTTATTTGCAGTGGCTGAGCTTTTTCAGGAAATTACCACAAAATCTAAATAATATTTCGAATTGATTAACGTCTTTTATTTTCGATGTATAGGCCGGTTAAGCATTTCGAATTTGTGCGTAGCTTTGGAATGCATTACCACTAAATAATTCAGAGATACTTAGGGCATACCAAAAGTACGGGCAGTGACATTTTAATACCGTGTAATTGGTTTAAATAACTTTCTTTCTGTATAGTCTGATAGAGAAAAAAAAGCTCTATCTTTCTATGCTATTTGATCATACTTCAACTAACATTATAATATTAAATTATCTATAAAACCTATTTCGGCTGGTTGTGTACTCGTAGTAAGTTTTACTTTGCAGTTTTCAATTCCTTATTAGTTGTATTAACAACCAAAATATATCATAAGATGCAGCGTGAAAAGCTCTAAAATTTACATAAGAACACTTATTTTATCGCTGCACTTTTTATTTTAAAAATGGACAAAATTTTGAGCAATCAAATTTCGACCATGGGAAAAAGATAATGTTTTCGATACAACGAATTCATTCTTTATTATTTCATTGTTTCATCATCTGGTATGCTTGATCAAAGGAAAAACTAAATATGCTACAAGATGCAGCGCGAAAGGCTCTACAATCTACACAGTAATGCTTATTGTAATTGTTTTCAGAAAAAGGGAAATTCTATGCAAACAATTTTTGCAATGCCCAAAATTTGTTTCCTCAAAACTTTGTCCATTTTGAAACAAAAAGTGCAGCTATAAAAGAAGTGGTCTTATATAAATTGTAGAGCTTTTCACGCTGCATCTTATGATATATTTTGGTTGTTCATACAATGTATTAAGCGATTGATAACTAATCTGTTTCACACGTTGTTATCTAGTACAACCAGCGCATAAACAGCCGAAATCGGTTTTATAGATAATTTAATATTACAATATTAGTTGAAGTATGATCAAATAGCATAGAAAGATAGAGCTTTTTTTTCTCTATCAGACTATACAGAAAGAAAGTTATTTAAACCTATTATACGATATTAAAGTGTCACTGCCCGTACTTTTGGTATGCCCTAAGTAATAACGATTTTTATGAAAGATACTCTAGGAACGTCTCATAGCAGTTCAACTGTATTCTTAACTATGATTCATAATCATAGATTTGAAGTACTCCGATAAATAAATTGAATTTCATCGGTGTTGCAAACCAAAGTGTAATACGATATTGAAGTCGACAATGGTGCTGGTAAGATTGTTTAAACTACCATTTTATATAAATCCGATGAAGTTTGACATATCACAAAATATCCAAGGTTTATTCGTGGTTTTAAAACTCTTTGAACACCATGAAATCGCTAAATTCTATGTGTTCTATGGATTCCGTCGTTTCTATGGGCTACTTGAATTCTATAGATCGCTTAACTGTCTCAGATTCTCTGGGTTCCTGAGTGCCATGAATTGTTCAGGTACCGTTTCTTTGTAGCTTACGATAAGTTTTTATTTGATTGTTTTTTTTGTTTCCGAGTTCCACAAGCGTTCAGAACTTACGAATATCGTCAGACTTCAAGTACTTTGACATGCTCAAGAATATGTTGCTCATCACAGTATGTCAATTAATTGGAGAAAAAATTTTCAATTATTATTCAAATCTGCGAATGAATTATAGACACGAAGTCAAGTAAAAAAATAGTAACCGATCTCATCAGTGTAAGATGAAGAACTACTTTTATATGTTTTATGAATTATACTGAACAAAGTTTCATTTGAATTAACAAGTTTGAGCATAAAAAAAAGCAATCAGTTCATTTCTAGCCGGTGTCTATCGATATATTCAATGTTTTTCATTACTTTATAGTTGATGAAGCAATATCTTTTTTCTTTGTAAATTCAGTGAATACATTCATGACAGAAAACACCCGGTTCTTTTTTTTAATTTCAATGAGAGTGTGAGTGTGGGTGTAGATGTTCTTTTTATCCGCATTCGCGTTCACACACTAACACCCACACCACACATGTATTTAAGCTTGAATTGTCCATTGGAAACAATTGAAGACTTAATCGATTTAAAAGATAAGTATTTATTATACAAATCCATCGAAAGCGATCTACATTGTAGGTTATATTTGCGACGTCAAATCTCAATAAGAGTTTAAGTGTGCATCTTTGTGCATCCACTGAAGATAGATGACGATATGTTCTATCAGATGGTAAATTGAAAATTCAATAAAAGCTTTCGGAAAAATTCGGCATGCAGTTGTGAAACTTTGTCTAACTCACATTCCACATCCACGCCGTATTCGGCAAAGGTATTGCGCTCGAAAAAATTACTATTCAGTTATTATCGATTTCAATTTTATCATTGAGTATTATTCTTCCTCAAATTTTTATTACCTCTATTCAACAGATGGTATAATGAATGAGTAACTATGTATATGAAGTTGAATCGTATTTTGTCTATTTAACATCTTTGGGCTTTTTACTTTGAGCCTTTGTGTCTTCGGCTTGTTAGACAGAGCTCGGACCAAAATTATAATCATGCAGAAGACGATGTCAACGAACTTCAGCTCGCTTGACGATGACTGTTGGAAGAAGATATATAATCATTGTACAACTACGAACAACTTGCATATTATTTAAGATATTTCCAAAAGAAAATACTATAAGATCTAAATAAAACAAAAAAAATAATCTTTAAGAAAAATTCAATGTTAATAGAATCAATTGGATGCTATAGTCGACAAAGCCAATCTTTTCATTCATACTCTATAAAATATTATATGGTCTGTCAGAAAGAATAGTTGCTCTTGTTCTATTGACAAACAATATTTCATTTCTTTTTACACTAGAAAAAAAACGGAATAATAACCAGAACAGATAGAGTTGTTGGATTTGAAAAAAAGGACGAGCAAGTAGTTGATGTGTCGAAATATTGATAGAATGAAATCAGACTATTTCAATATTTTGCATAGGTAAGTTTCTTATCGATTCAATGTTATTAAATTTAATGAGTAATGACTATTGAAGTATAAAGCCAGAAACTTGACTGTCTACGATGAAAAAAAAAAGCGATAATAATTTGTGATTATAAGAAAATGTAGTGAATATCGATGAATTGGATACCAAACTTCCAAGATGTTTGACGACGAAGAAGAGGAAGAACAAGACAAGAAATAATCATTAGAATTCAATGATAAAAATGCCAGTAATCCTGAAATTTCTGTAGAAAATATAATTTAGATGAATATGATTTATTTAATAAAAACATTATATTTCAAAAAACCACCATTAATGGCAATCAATTATACTCACAGACAATCAAGATGTCGACTTTTAATTAATACAACTATTTCTTTATAAAATGTTCATTTTCTTCATTTGCTAGCATATTTTTTATGATATCGATTATAAAGGTGATTTCGACCACTTTATATAATCTAACAATTTTTCATTTTTCTTCGAATGATTTCTATAAAAATCTATTATCTATGAATCCTCAATAGAAGTTAGAAAATCTCACTTAACTCATATGTACACTAATGAACATGGTTGTTAATCAAAATAAAAATTCATAAAGAAAAATTTTCTATCTTCTTGATTGATATTGTTGCACATTCAAGTGAACACATTCTTTTCATTACAGATCACACATGGTATAGGTAAGTAATAAATTATAAATCAAACAAGACGTTGCTAAAACTTTTTCATTCACAATAAATATCAGCTCTATCATGTTATATATTTAAATTCTATGAAGATTGCGATGAAATCTTTTATTAGTCATTTTCTATTGTAGACAAATAAATAAGAGGTAAAAACAATTTGCTTCATGGAAAATCTTCTTGATCATAGACAATTCTTTATCAAAAGAACGACATAAATAATAACATCTTATATTATATTCGAATCTCTAGAAAACTTTTATATTTTCTCTTTTGCTATTAGTCGTTATCTTGATTAATACCTTTCTATGGTTTGACTTTCTCTTTAATATTATACAGAATGAAGATTAAAATGATGACAACAGTGAAGATATATAAAGATTGAATCAGTCTAGTCATCATCATTATATTTTTATATAAAGAAACATGATGAACCAATGTAATCATACATTAAATACAAGTATTTTATTTGATCAGCCAAGTCATGCACTTATTCCATCTGAACAAGTTCACTTTTGGACTTTTCTTGTGTTTGAAATTCCTTCGCTTGTTTGTACAATCTATCTTCTCTATCATCTATTATTTGATAAACGTTTACGAAAAGCATTACATAATCATGTTATCATTATTCTTCTTTTTCTTTGTTTTCTCGTCGAAGTTATTGATATTCCTCTATATCTTGATGCATATCTTCATGGTGGTAGAAATTCATTTCATTCTTCATCAATGATTTGTCTTCTGTGGTGGTTTATTGATTATGGTATTTATGGTGCCTTTATAGTCTTTATGACATGGGCATCATTTGAAAGACATATTCTTATCTTTTATCATCATCAACTACTTCGTACAAGATTGAAAAGAATTATTTTTCATTATATTCCATTAGGAATAATATCGATTTACATGAGTGGATTTTACATTGGTGTTATTTTCTTTCCTCCATGTGAAAATTTATTTGATTTTGAATCAGTTGAATGTGGTATGTTTCCTTGTTATCAAGAAGTATCATGGCTGAATATATGGGATTATTTGATCAATGGAGGAATGTGTGTATTTATCGAAGCAGTATGTAGTGTTATTCTTCTTATTCGAGTCATTTGGCAGAAACATCGTATTCGTCAACCGATTCATTGGCGAAAACATCGAAAAATGACTATTCAATTACTGTCTATTTCAATTTTATCATTGAGTATTGTACTTCCTGAAAATATTATCGTTGTTATTCAACAAATAATGCCAGAAATGAATGACTTTGCATCTGACACAATGTCTTACTTTTTTTATTTAACATACTTCGTTATTTTACTTTTACCATTGGTCTCTTTGGCTTGTTTACCGGAACTATGGCCACAATTAACATCATTTAGGAAACGGCGTGAACGAACGGTAGCTCCTTTCATGATGAGTGTTGGAAGAAGACATCCAATCACTGAATGACTACGAACAACTTTTAAACGATGTGAATTATTGTTAACTTTTTATGTTACACTTTTTTAAACAGTCATTAATATTGTTTAACTAAAATATAACAACAAGCGATTAGAATAATGAAAAAAAAATAAAGAAAAATTGAACTTACTGAATCAGGTTTTTCATATCTCCCTGTACAAGATCATGTAGGTATAGTAGTGACATGCGATAAATTGAAATGCATAACAATTATACAATGATTATCGTTCACTTTGACATTATACTGTGCTTTAATAAATGCTCGTTATACACTGGATAAAATCAGAAAATTAGCTTTTGTTCTATGGAAATAAAATATATCGATTTCCTTTATCTTGAAAAGCATAGTATAATTACTAAATTAGAGAAGTCTTCGAATTAATAGTTAAGCAATCGATTCATTTCATCTGGAGATGTTAAGTTTTGAACTGCTGTTGTTCTTCGAATCTATCTCGTGTTATTCGGCGAAAACATGAAGAGTCTGAGTGTGGGTGTGAGCCTTGCTTTCACCAACACCCAGATTCTTCGTGTAATTTCGAGCTGACCCAATTTTCCGCAATTCTGTGATGAAATTACTTGCATCTACTGTCCTGTATGATCGTATCAATGTTTGTAATGTAAATCTAAAACAAGATTTACATGTTAACTTTATTTATATAAGTAAAATGTACATATATATATATTGTTTTCCAGGACAATGTACACAGATGAAGTATTACATACTGTAAAGAAATAATAATAAAGCAATGTTCACATTATTTCAATAAGTATAGATGCAATTCTTATAATATAGATCGTGTTTTGCATATAGATAAAGCATTATTTTTTGAAATTTAAAATCGTTGTCAATATTTTGAAAGAGCAATGTTAATTTGTTCTACTAAATCTATACTGTACACTACTTTTTTGGAGAAAGTCTACAGTAGTGTATATCTCAGAAACAGCGAATGTTCTGTAAATTTTGTTTCTCTGTATACGCTTGCAATTGGAAACATTGTAGGACACTAAAGAGAAGCAACCTGTACTATATTTTTTTGTTCATGCTAATTGCATCTAAAGGGGTGTAGCACACCAAAGATCGAAACAGATGAGACAATCTCGATTAGATTCGATTTGATTAAAAGAAACAACATCTTCAGTTGATGTAGTTCTTCTAGACAGCATCAGCATAAAGATTGTATTCGACTGAGGCAATTAGAATCATTTGATAATTCAATTCGGTTTTCATCATTGTACCATATAGGAAGCAAATTTATCCTGATATTGTCAGAATTAAAAATGTCCAAAATGAAAAAATCAGAAAATAAAATAATAGAAATGTCAAAAGATAGAAATATTGGAAATGAAAGTGTATGAAATAAGAAATCTCTTGATACTCGCTCTTACTCTTACTTGCATATTTTGATCTTCAATTTTCGTTTTCGATATTTTCATTTTCGCCACTTTCACCTTTCGATCAAAGTACGATTCACCAAACAGCACTACCAAACAGTAAGCAATCTCTCTCAAAGATTCCAAAGCAAAGGTTTTTCGCAGTCGCGTTCAAGAAAAGGCTTGCTATGGGTGTAGGTCTTTATTCACTCTAGATTCCCCCACACCTCAATATCATGACACTGATTTCAAGCTCCCAAACAGATGTCAATCACTCTGGAGTGGAACAACTAGTAAGGAAGAAAAGAATACTAATCTCAACATAAATAGATAAAACTTGTCAGGTTGCCTACTCACTGTATAATAGAAGTTCCAGAGAAGAAACTCGATCACTTAACTCATTTATTCCAAAAAGGTTTGTGTCTGATTGCACTGTCATGATCCATTTTGAGGAGTTCATGTCAAGATTTCATACTCACCACACGTCATTTTTTGGGTACCCTAAATAAAACGTCTGTAATAAAACCAATTGCGACCGACTGACGAAGACTTGTGTACCAAGACGAAGTGATACCAACGAAGATCGATCGTGTTTGTCACAGCCGAAACATAGAAAAGAAACAAGAGCTTGCGAAAACTAATTGATTCAGCGAACTCACACGTGCGTCGATTGAGGTAACTATAGAGATGAACAGAAAGAGAAAATAAATCATTGTGAACAATTGCCATCGACGAGTTGACGAGCAATTAATGCTGACGAAATAATAATGATGAATCAACAAAGTCATCGATAGAGATCGATCGAGTTTGTGCCAATGGAAAGATAAAAAGAAAAAAGAGCTTGTGAAAGCCAACTAATAGGACATAGCAATCCGAATAATTGATCGATGAAACTATAGAGGCAAACAGCGCAGAATATTTGATTGGGTGACATGTACGAAAGTGAGACAATACAAAAAGACACTACAAGAGCCAAGGAACAGCACGAACTTACGCAGTCTATCAATTGATGGAATCATAAAAAAACGACTTTATTGCGACCAATTGATATAGACGAATTGACGAGGAGAAACACATGCAGACACAGTCACACCATAGATTGATGGAATACCGCTCAGAATGATTAAGCGAGCGGTAGAGATAAAGCTACATTTTCGGTTGTTCTACTCGATTACACTATTCGATTGTAATTATTAGTGTATGAGTTGTGTGAGGGATCTAGGGTTTAAATGCATCCCGCCTAATGAAGCAGTGGATTCACTCTTCCAGTCACTAATAAAGCTCTGCGCAAAGCGAAGCAACCTTTCTATATATTGACGAACATGCTCTTCATCATTATACAGTTAGACACATTGAATTTTGACAATAAACATCTTTGAAACGCACCAATACTTCAATTATCTATGCCGTGGAAACTATTTAACATGTAAACGTATTTGACATCAACACATTTACGGCGTTTACACGCGTATTTTTTCAAAAAAGCGTGTGCAAACAATGACAATTTTCGTAACGCCGTTGAAACGGCACACTTTTTCTTCCAAAGCACGTTAAAACTATGTTTTTTTCGAACCTTGTGTGATAGGATCTATGACGGTGACTTATCACAAAAGAATAAAGAAAGACATATGTAGCATAATATTTTATTATTTATGCGCATAATCTGACATATAAATTCTATTTGCAACGTTTAATGAAGATTAACAATGAACGCATTCATATGTGTGTTGCCTTATTGATCAGTCTATCATATTGGGTATTCAGACGTAGAAAAAGGTATGGACAACTGTAAAGAGTTAATTTAAATAAATTTATTCTTAATAAATTGTTTACAATTTTTGTTTCAAAAACATCAGTCTCTTGTACACTTTGAAGATTAGGATGATTTACAGGTACTGATTGTTTTAAAATATTTAAAGCGCATTCGAAAAATGGAAGTGCTTTCTGATATTCACCGATTTTGAAATATATTGAACCAATATTATTGTAAGAAATAGCCAAGGCTGGATGATTTGGTGGAAGATTGTTTTTTCGGAGTTTCAGTGCTTTTTCGTGAGATAAAAGTGCGTTTGAATAATCATGCACAGCATTATATAATGCAGCCATGTTGTTATAAGAAGTAGCTAACATTGGATAATTGATAGGAAAAGCGTTTTCTAAGATTTCATGTGCTTTTTTTTGAGTTAAAAGTGCTTTCGAATACTCACTCATTTCATAATACAAGCTACCTATGTTATTGTAGGAAGTAGCTAACGAAAAATGATTTGATGGATAGATTTTTGTTAAAATTTCATGTGCCTTTTCATAATACGAAAGTGCTCTGGGGTATTTGCCGAGTCCATGATATATCAAGGTAATATTGTTATAGGAAGTAGCTAATATAGGATGATTTGGAGAAAGAACTTTTTCGTAGATTTCAGGTGCTTTCTCATGAAATGAAAGTGCTTTTTGAATAGTCACCCATTACTTCGTACACTGAAACGATATTGACATAAGACGCAGTAAAATCCTGATGATTTGGAGGAAGAACCTTTTGTCGAATGTCTAAAGCCTTTTTAGGAAATAAAAGTGCACGCGAATAATTTCCCAAGCTTTGATATGCAGATGCAATATTATTGTAGGATAGAGCGAACTCAGAATGATTTGGTGGGAGAGTTTTTTTTGTAGATTTCTTGTGCTTTTTCATAAGACGAAGTGCATTTGTATATTCACCTTTTCTATAATACATCATACCAAGGTTGATATGGGAAGTAGCCAAGTAAGGATCATTTAAAGGAAGAACTTTTTGACGAATTTCCAGTGATTTTTCAAATAATGATATTGCATTTGCGTACTCTCCTATACTGCCATAAACTAGCGCGACGTCACCATACATAATAGCTAAATCGGGATCGTTTTTAGAAAGAATTTTTCGAGAGATTTCAACTGATTTTTCGCAGAATGATATTGCCTTATTATATTCACCTTGATGTTCTTTAATATTAATCCAAGTTGATTATAAATTGCCGCTTTCTCAAACTCATCAGACGTTTGATTGAGTAGTGTTGTGTAAACTTCTTCAGTTTGATTGAATTTACTTATTTTCATTAATAATACACCCAACTGTAGCCAGCTTTTGGCTCCTGCAGTCTCTATTCGTATTTGATTAGTGAGTATGCGGAGTTGTTGGTCATCGTTACTCGTTAGTTTGAGTTGTACCTGCCAAAATCAGTTGGTATCATCGAGTTTTTTAATTTCACCAATGCGAAAAACAGTGTGCACATAGAAAAGAATTTTACTTTCGTCTCTGAACTTACTAAAATTTTCGATGGAGGCAAATGGAACTGATGAAATAGATGGATTAATATTGATTACAAACAATATTCCGATGAAATCTGGATTAGTTCGATTAGTATCTGCGAAAAAAAACGAAATGTCTTTATCAAGACTAGTCGATAAAAAATTATTGAATGACATAAGTCCACCATTGGTTTTTACCAGTTTCTCAAAATCTACTTTTGATTAGACTTGCCCTTGATAAACAGTAAATGATGGTGATGAATGAACACTAAATTGCTTAGAATGTAATTGTTCGATATGTTTATGAAGATCATTAATGAAAAATCCAAGTTTTATAA